AAGGCGAAAGGGGGTCAAACACCGTATTAGTATGGTGTTCCTAATAATCCTTTAGGTGAGTGTATATTTCGACGTGTGTTTAAAGGCCAATTTACAAAAGAGTAAAGCATGTAGTTTTTGAAGGGAGCATTTTATAGCAAATTGTATAGCAGACTTGTGAAGAACATCAAGCTTCTACAGCACACTCTTATAAGCTGACCTGTAAATGGCATCACCATAATCAGGGATGGGAAGAATAGTCATTTTAACAAGTGCCAGTTTTGCTGAACAAGTAAGAGTAGAATGAATTCTATACAAAAACCCAATTCTGAGTGTAACTTTGGACTGTAAACAGTTGATATGATGCGCAAAAGATAGAGAGCTATCTAGCCAGATACCCAGATATTTGTACTCTGTGCCACAGTCTTCAAGAGTCCCATCAACAGCTATTCTGCAAAACCACATAACCTTAGTTTCTGTTACATTTAAAGCTAGGTGAAGAGTACAGAAAGCCCGATGGACCCTAAAAAACTACCTTGAAGTGTTGTAAATACTGTATCAGGAGATTAACCTGAGGCATAAAGGACCAAATCATCAGATGACTCCAGTAAAAATAGGAACATCATTTATATAAACAGAAAATAATGTGGGACCAAGGATTGAGCACTGTAAAACCCCTTCAGTGACAAATAACAGTTTGGAGAGTGATTGTTCAGGTTTTCCCTGTTGTACCCTTTTATCGTTAACATCTAAGAAGTCTGAGAACCATGTTAATGCAAGACCAGAGACTCCAGTACTGCTCAATCTGTCAAGAAGAGCAGTATCATCAACAGTATAAAAAGCTTTGGCAAGATCTATAAAATAGCTGTAGAATATGAGCGGCAGTGATATCATTTAAAACCTTAAGAGTCGCTGGGACACAACCAAACCCAGTTCAAAAATCAGACTGGACTCCAGTCAAGATTTTACAAACAACCAGATAATTTGTCAGTTGCGTGGGTTGAAAGATGCATCATGACTGATTAATGAACAAATATGAGATTAGTGTTTAACTTGTGTTATTCATGACTTGTTTCATCAGCAGTTCCTTCAGTAGTTGACAAAGGTTTACAGAATTAACAGATATAGTAATAAATATAGATATATAGATAAAGCATGCATCGCGATTCATTAATGATGAATTAACATGAGATCAATATGTAACTAAGGCTTAATTTGTGGTTATATAATACATAAGTAATATCACAATGCTATATTACCTGTACCCCGTCAAGTAAAGTACTGTAATAAATAGAGTTATCCTGTTCACAAGGTTAAGCGTGTTATCAACTCATCCTTCACTTTGCTGTCACTAAGTGCTTCAGTTTTGGTGTGATTTGCCTCAAAATTTCACCCCTTTCAGGTTGTTACCCTGACAATGTGCCTGCAAAGTTTGAAAAATATCTGTAAAATACTTTGAGCCTAAATAAGCCTAAATGTATATAACAAAAAATATCAACTGACAAAAAGAGACACGTGCAGAGATGACATGAGGCCTCAGGTGTATGTAGTCAGATGGAAACATTTTAATTCCATCACTGATTGGGAAGTCTCCCATGTATGTGGCACAATTGTCCTCTAAGTGATCTTCCTTTCATTCTTTACACAAAAAGGGAGTTCTTTTCTACATAGGATAAACGCCCTTTTGATTTAATGCCACAAAATCCGATAATTTATGCAGGTTAATACAATCTCTGCAAGGAATGATTGAGACATGCCTTGAGATATGTTTATATGATCATCACCCATCTGATTAAATGCTACAAATCCAGATAATTAATGCAAGTTGCGTCAATCTCTATAGGGAATGATTGAGACATGCCATGAGCAATTTGTTATCTTAACTGGGCGTTGTAGGACTTTAGCTGCAACATTAAAATCCTTATTAAATGACAAACAGTGTTCTGATAAGTTAACTGGGTTTTCTCAGGTACGTAACCATGTATTAAATGAAGGGACTTAAACCTCACATACTGTAAAATCTGGCACCCAAAATCCTGCCCCCCCTTCAGTCAGCTAAATCACTGTGTGGGACCCCCCACTTCCCTCCCTGTCAGGAAAATTTACCAAGGGGGAAATTCATTTCTGGCTACTGGGCTGGGTGTTCTGATAGTCTTACCACTTAATAATAATGAATGAATTAGTTAATAATAATGAAGTTGCAATTCATTATGTTAACTGTTTGATAATATGTGTGCTTCAAGAAATGTGCTTAAGGACATTTTTAAGAAAGAGAATGAAGTTCTGATTTGCCATTCCATGACACAGATGTGGACAATTATTTGCATATATGTACAATATGATATTTGAATATCAGTATTTTCTACTAGGCACCATTAATCATAACAACAGCTATCATTTATGCTCAGGGCTAAATTCACTATACCCTCACAGCTACACTAAAAGAACTGACTGTTCAAGCTTTCTTTGTAATATAAGGCTACTTCAGCCAATAGTGAAATAGCATTATTTTAAAAACTGTTGTTGCATGTCTTTTTACATAGGCAAGCAGTCCCCACTATCCTGCTCCCCCCCAATATTGGTTATTAATGTAGCTCTATAGCATGATAAGAATAATTGATGCTTATATATCCTGAAAATACCAGTATGTCCTGAGACTCAGAGACAGTTTCAGACAATTCCCCAGAAATCCTCTGAAACTATCACCTTGTATTTTTAACCTGCCCAACCACACCCAAACTACTTACAGCCGTGTTTGTTCATTGTTCTTAAAAGGTGTGACTGTAAGAAATTATGAGAGAGGATTCAGCCACTTGCCGCCACAGGCCAGAGTCTGCACCACTAATGTGGGAGATAAAGAAAACAAAAGGACCAGAACCAGTTTGTATTCCTAGCTATGTGGGGACAGCAATAATCATTAATGGGCGCTGTTTAGAGTCTGGGAAAATAATTTACAGCCTTTAGCATAAAAACATTAACATACAATAATTTAGAAGGAAGGTTTCAAGAGTGATTAATAGATTGTTGCTGTTGTTATTATCCAACCAATTTCATACTGCTTGTTTATTACAGGCCTACTGTGATATATGAAGAGAAATACCAAAATATGGACATGGTGCATGTAAACGACCCTTACATGAATAGGGGTCTATCAGGAACTTAAGTCAAAGGCTGTGTCCCAATCCAGGGGCTGCATCCTTCGTAGGCTGCGGTCTACGTATCCTCGCCCTTCTAAAGATCTGTGCAGTGGATCTTGGGATAGATTGGGCTGCCAATGACCCTGGGGTGGATCCTTAGCGAAATGTATTAGTTTAATATTAAAATGTTGTTCTTCATAATTAGTTTAATAAACGCTTTCAAATTAAAGAAGCAGATTTAAATCAATGTTGCCTTTAGAAATTGGTTTCACTGTGAGGTAGGAAAATATAATAGAAAATAGAAATATAAAGACAGTTGTGGTATTTAAAGCATTAATGAAATATGAGCAGCATTAGCTGATAACAAAGTGAATCAGAACCAAGAAATATATATAAAAATTTTATGCTGCAGTGTATGGATATGATATGGATATGGTATAGATATGGTATAGACTTGCTATAAATCCAGAGTTAGAATAGATGCTAAGGACCATGAAAACATTCCTGGAAGGTAAAAAAAACATGGTCCCATTTGCACTACTTTTATTCACCCTGAGCACCTGCCCCTTTGCCAGAATGATTGAAAGTACCTCACATTTACTGATGGGGGCGCCCCTCTCCTATATAAAAAATATAAGCATGATCTCCAAAAGCTCATAAAATATGCAAAAATTCAATATCACACAAGAGCAGAAAGCCAGTAGAGAGGCTTCCAGGATACACAACCATTTTACTTCAACTGATTTATTGTTTATTTTTATCCATATGTGCGTGGCATACAAACAGTAATCTGTGTGCATGCGAGTCTTTGTCGGTCCAGGAAAGTGTTGGAAGCTAATGCTTGTATCAGTTAGCTGTCTTTGGAATCTTTCTTGTGAAACCTAAAAGTGAAGACCACACAGATAACCTGGCAAATGACGGAATCCTCCTGGTGATTGGGGCAGTTCTCCTACAATTTGAGTAGTGTGGCGTCTGCAGTGGCAGTGCTGTTGAATCTTATGTCAATAAAAATGTTTTAATCGAGCTCTCCTGTCGTTACAACCTTGAATGTATTGTGCAATCAGTGTAGCATGATTTCCGTAAAAATAAAAAAATGAATATACTGTAACGATATGTATTGAATGCTAGATGGCAATTTTGTCTGTACACTATAATGTAGTTATACTGATATTTGTACCTTTATGAATTTGTATGCAGTAGCCTACATGAACCTAATGATGTTTTTGTTAAGAAAAGATATCAGCATATGAGGTGATACCTTTGCTTCTTTTAAAAATCGCAGTGTAGCTGTAGGCAGCTAAATATATTTTTTACTTTCAGTTCATCATCGTATTGACTCTCACCATTTTCAATAGCCCGGGGTCGGTTCCCGCCTGCGCCCACTGTTCCCGTGATAGGCTCCGGTCTCCCCGCGACCCCAATGGGATAAAGCGGTTTCAGGAAATGGATGGATGGATGGATGGATATGTCTCTACATTTAACCTTCAGTTAAAGGCGTATTAATCGCAACAATACTTGCTTAACATTGTTTAAAATGCTACTGTATATGCTGAACCTTTCATTACTGTGCCAGATTCCTCCAAATAACTTAACTGTAAGGAAGAAAAAATACACTTGTTACGGGAACAACCTTTGCGGCCGGGAAAATGCAGACAGACCTGTTGACTACTTCCCTGTTTAACCTAAAAGAATACGATCATCTCATTGGCTGGAGTGATTTATCAATGTTGCGTAATGTTATTGTCACAACGGTATTTAAAGAGAGGGTTTGTGCAGTTTGAAGAAGTTTTATGCACAGAGCAGGAATCCTGAAAGACAAATCCTATCACCATGGGTAAGTATTGCACAGTGCATCGTCAAACGTACGTTTCACTTCATGCTGTGACAATAAAATACAATTAAATATAATACATTTCCTTATTTCCTTGATACAAGTTATGTGTAATTCCGTTGCTTCTTTTTGTTATTACGACACACGCAGTAAATGTTTATAATGAGCTGTTGCTTTGAGAAAGAATGCCGAGACTTTTGAGGGGCAGAAGCGCGCGGACAGAGGTGCCCCTTGGATGACCGTCGCTGATCGAAAAGGGGAACTAGGGACGTGAAAGTGGAGCCGTGCACCCCCCATCATCATTGAAAACCGAAAGTAATGTTTTCTCTTTCTGTTATTTCCCATTCAGCTTGCATTTACGGCGATGTTATGAAGATTGACACCACAGGCGCATCAGAT